AAGTAAAAAATATTTTTTCCAATAAGTCCTCATCTGTGATAGTGTCTCCACATAATTTTAATAAATAACTTACTTTAAAAATAGCAGAATTATACTCACTTACGGTTTTAAAGTCTTGCAACCTTAAATGTACTCACTCATACCGGACTTTCGGTAATACCGTAAGTTTTAGGTGGTCATATCGATCCTTCAAATTATTTCATAATTCAAGTGGATCTTTTATGGTTAAATATTCAGTTTTTAACCCTTCATGTAGATGATGATGAAGGAAAATCATGGTCTTCGCTTTATCCTAATTTGATGTTTCAGTTCCTTGTATAATAGTATTTCCAAGACCGCTTCCAAGTGAATTTCAGCATCATGTACCCATGATAAATAATTTCTCCGGGTGATGTCAAGTGCCACAAATTCAAGTTTTGATAAATTGACATAGTGAAAACTATCATAAAAGATGAATAAGTTAGAGAAATAATTATAATAATAAACAATTAATAAAAACAAAACGATTAAGGTAAAAGAAATGAAATTAGAGCTATATCATGTTAACATTCTACTAATTCATTTTATTCTTGCCATAAAGTAGAAATTACATGTTTCATTTCACTTTATATTATTGATATATATGTGTTAATAGAATCGAACGTAACTAACATTATTTATATGTTCCAATAAATATAAAGTAATTAAACTATAAATTTATTGTTTGACAATTCATTTCTCACAGTTCTTCAAAATGCCTTAAAGATATGTTTTTATCCAGAAAGTCCATAAATATTATAAATATGACATTAGTACATAGCTAGTTTGATGACTTTGAGGTCATTTTAAGAGTTAAGCACGGGAGAAAATAGTTATTTTATCACTGCAATGTACTTAAACTATTTAAGATACCCAAGCGCAAAGTAATCTACAAACAGTGAGCATATGATATGTACTGCCATAAATAAAATGATTATAATGATACATACCTTAAATAAAATATGGCTCAACTTAGCGGAAGTTAAGAATAAAATTAGAGCTTCGTGTTGATAACGTATTATAAAATAAAAGCAATGCAATAAAATATAAATAAGAAGAAATAGAAAGAAGGGAAAAGTGTTTTCTTCTTTCACTTTGGTGTATTTTTCCATTGCAATTACATGACCTTTTATAGGCATAAAAAGTAAAGATAATGAACATAAAATAAGAGATTTAATCTTTAAGTTATTCACGCGCCTCCAATGTATAAACTATTCCTTAACATTCTAGAAATAATTCAAGTACTTCTTAGTTTTCACCCTCAAAACTTAAGATATCATATATAAAAAGACAAACAAGGCTTAACTAGAAGAAAAAGTAAAGACACAACCGATTGCACAGCGTGCATTTATTCTGCGGAAAAAAAAACAGGCAGCAATTAACTCACACAATATTAAATTTTATTATTACTTTAAAATTTAAGAATATAGTGATAATAAACTGCAAAAGGAATCCAGGTGGATTCGAACCACCGTCCTCTCAATTGAACACAATTGAGCGCTCCACCAGAGGCCGAGCTCTTGGATCCATCAAACCGATAAAACAAGTTCTTATAACACAATTAACAAACCGGACAAACTTATATTGTCATAAAAATGACGTCTAAACAAATAATGCTTTTACTTAAAAAGTTACAATTGACAGTCCTAACTCTATTCCATTTTCAAAAAATAATGAAGCTTTCTACTTTTAATAACTCTTCAGACTTTTGACTACTTTATTCTACTTTTAACACGATTTCAAATTTAATGACATTTCACAATACTACATGTTCAAGTAGGAGTGACTCGATTCTATTTTACTTTTCACAGCATGATCTCAAAGTTATAAACAATTGTATATGTTTAGACAGACCAACTCCATAAGTAAATTTTGTAATGGGGTACAAATCCTTTATAAATTTTAGCAGGTGCCGGAAAGAGAGATAAAATACCACACTCAACCAAAGGCCACCGTATAAAATAAACTACAAAGATCAGTAAACCAAAAGGCGTTCTACAAAGGGTTCTACAAATTATCACTAGTTTGAAATACAAAAAAGCAAGTATTCCTTTTAATGCAAGCATTTAAAATATCAAAATTAATTGCTTATTTCAGTACATTTTTAATTTGATTTTATGATTTGAGCAAGTGGAAGTATAAAATGAGGAAGAACTACAACATCTTGCTATAAGGAGAAAATTTTGCAGCTTTAAATAGTCAAAAATTCAGCCACTGAAGACCAAGAAGAAATTATCAAATTTATGAATCATTTCTCTATAAACATCCGTATGCTCTCTCTATCGACGTACGTACACTAAAACAGGACCATTCCCCCCCTGTGAAAGAACTAGAATTTGGCAGTTACTAGGAGTAAAGAGCAATATAACCTGTAATTTAAACTCTTAACTAGTTAGCATATAATAAACTACCAACAATGAATATTAAGCATGACATTACCTCTGCAAACGATCAAGACAATCACATGTACCAGATGTGGATATAACCAGTTTTTTTTGGTAATAACCAGTTTTCTATCATCTACAAAAGTTGCAATATCCAATTCCTAAAAGACAGCAAAAAATTAGATAGATCAAATACATAAAATAAAATTAAAGTGGTAAGACCCCCTTGCAGGTATCAGGCTGATGATGCTTTCTTTAAGAGCAGCAACGTAAACTTTGGAACTTAAAATTTAGCCCTATGGCTCCAGCAATACACCAAACAATCAGGACGAGCTACAGCCACTAAGGCGGCAACACTTTGAAAGTATTCGAAGAAATAAAGAAGCCTCAATTTTAGACAGCTATTCCAACTGACAGTAATGACATAGCGAACACAGCTGACACTTTAAGCAGTAGAATCACCTTTTTCCACTGTAATTCAGCAGCATCCCAAGTTGGTTGATCAGCTCGGCAGAGCCAGATACTTAACATTGATCTTCAACAAGTAGCTAGCACCATCCCAAAGCCAGTGGAGAGAAGAATGACATTCTATCCAAATACTGAAACATATTTGAGTACATACATATTCACCCCTCCAAGATTACAAAAAACTGCACTCGGACAATACTTCCCATTCAAATTCACTACTACATTACAACAATAGAACAGAGATTTTCCCACTAGTGAACCATTTGAATAAAAAATATCCACATTACACATTCGAATGACTTGTAAGTGGGTTAACAATCTCATTTTTTAAGAACCAACTAGGAAGTATGTCGCACGCCTGTCAACCCAAGGGAACATCATATTTGCAAAACCTAAATTTGAAAAACAAATTTACCCATTCATAAACGCATTTAAGTTATCAAAGTTGTCTGTTGTTACCAAATGTAGAAACATTTTTTCTTGCAAAAGAGTTTATTATTATACCCAGCTAGAATGTAGCCTCTATAATCTTGCACTTTACTATTCATTAAAGAGCATTTATTTTTAATAAACAACTTATTAGCCTGTCTAGCTAGCTTGGAATTAATATTTAAATCTCATTTTTGACAATTAGATCAACACTGCCATCGTAGTCTAAGATGAGCATTAAAAATTAAGGACTGCTATTTGAAAGACTTACTCATGGAACGGCAATATGCTATATGCTAAGTTAAACGTAAATGTTAGTGGAGGGAATTCGTTCTTGTACCTTTGATTGGAGTGCTGGAGCAGATTAATCCTAGCATTAGCCCGACCGATGTCAAATTTAAGAGATGCACGAGTCACTTGCCTTTGAATAAAAGACCACCATTCAAAGGGCAAGTATCCAACAATCTGATGTGACGTTCTTGGTGGTATTGATCTTGCGTATAATATCTAGGGAACAAGGAAGAGAACAAAAGACGAGACGACACAAAGAGAGGAGCGCCAGGCAAAATCCCTGTGCCATCTCCTCTCCCGAAACAAAAAATAGAAACTTTATTGGGTATTGTGACCTGCCATGCGAGCGCACCCATCATGGCAAAGGTCGGGAAACAACAAAAATCTCACATGTCCTCTCTTTTTCTCTATGACTATATAACTAACTCGTACATATGCATGCGTATCAGAAAGGTTAATGCTCATCAATGATGCAACTCATAATAGACAACAAATTAAACAATGATAAACCTTTTCTAACAACCACAACCTCGCCGATTACCAACGGTTAATCGACCCACAGTTCAACAGTTGGAGCATAAATCAGATGTGATTAGTCAAGCAGCTCTACAGAACAGATATATGGTCAATATGAGCCGCATGTAGAATCAAATCTGCAACAAACAGAAACACCACAACAGATGTCAATAAATAGAATTTGGTCCAAAACGGTAGATAAATGCAAAAATAATAGAAACAAATAGGCTAACCTACAGAACCCAAGCAGCAAACGATGAAGCATCCAATCGACTTGAATAACCAGATTTGGTTGCTTTGGAACAACTACCAAGCAGACAAGAGCTACTCTTCCAAATTATGAAGCTTTCATCAACTCATTTCTCAAAGTCAAACGGTTCGTAACAAAACCTCCGGCCCAACCATCAAAAAGCAGATCTCCGATGGAACTCGAGACCATACTCAAACGGTAGATCAGCGAACGATCTACACAGATCTGAACACAGTGTCAGAAGCAGAGAAATGATAAGTACCAGATCTAAAGAGAAAAGATTAACGGTGGAGACGGAAGAGATTGAAAATGGGATGCGAGTTGATGAAGAGATGAGGCGTTATTTTATAGCGGGGTTAGGATGATCGGACGGTTTGGATTGAATGAGCTGGTAGATGATTAACGATTGAGATGCGTTGACTGATGAGTAGGGCTAAAGGCTGGCGATGAGTAGGTTACGGAAATATCTAGATAGCTATTGATATTGAATATCAGAGGAAGGTTACCGACCGTCGTTTTTTTTTTGACTGGGAAAGCTAATCTTCGTAACGTGTTACAACATGCTTCACGTTTGGCGTGTTACAACATTACTATAGTCAATTAAAATTTTATTAAATTTAAATTCATAATTAAATTTGGATTTAATTTTAATTAAATATATTTTAGGCCAAATAAATATTATAGGTTAAAATATTTGAATTAATTATATAAATCTAATATATATAGATTAAATAAATAAGTTTTAATTCATTGGGCTAAAGTGATAAGCTTACTTTATTAAGCCCAAGATGACATCTTCCTAGAAGCCCAGTTTGGTGTCACGTGTCAAATGACGTGGCACGCCAAGTCAAACGGAAGAGCCAATAGGATCATGCCATGTGTCAAAATGACAAGGCATGTCGAGTCACATTAATAGGCCAATGAAACCGTGACACATGTGGAAGTGACATGTTCCAGCCAATCAAATGCAGTCATGTCACACTTCAGTTTGATTGGTCGGAAAGAGTTTGTTCTTATCACAACTCCTCCCTTCCACAACTATAAATAGGGGTCTTCATAACCCAGAAAAGACATCAGAAGTTATAACAAAAAGCAAGAGAGATCTCGTGGATCAAACACTGCAAATTTCTCTACAAGTTTCAAGCATCAAGCAATCAAGTTCAAGTTTAAGAAATCAAGTTCAAGTTTAAGAACGAAGAACAAATCAACATTCAAGGGGTACGAATTCAATTCAAAGTTCGTGCTAATTGAATTCAAGATCATAGTTCGTGGCGGCAACTACATATTCAAGATCAAGCTCAAAGGCCATTGAATTTATTTACTGTTGGAAAAAAGAATTAGAGGATTCATAGAGATTGTAATGCTCAAATTACTTGAAATAAAATACTACAATTGTTGCAATATTTTTCGGTCTTGATTTTATTTTCTCGATGCAAATTTATTGTCTACAAATTCTGGCACGCCCAGTGGGACAATCTCTATCTCTCATCTCAACTTTCAATCACCAAAGTTCAAGAACATTGAAATGACTTCAAAGAAAATCAACTCCAGTTCAACTTCCACCAAGGCTGCTAATTCCAAGTTCTATGCTGATGTGGAAAACATACCTGAAGTTACCTTTGGAAGCTTTGGACCAGTTACGAGGAGCAAAGCAAACTCGTTAGGACAATAAGCACCCCAGGTGTCGTCCACATCTACCCTGTTTTTGGATATTCATCCTCAAAAGGAGCAAGATCTTCCACAATCACACCCGAAGGAGAAAGCGATGTTGCTGAAAAGATCAAGAAAATTCTTACTCTGCTTGACCTCTCCGGATCCAAGCACTCTGTTGTGAAAGAAGATGATGATGTTTCAAGTGATGGATCCTCCCCACTTACACCACATAGTGTGAGCCAATCAAGGGTCAATTTGTGTGAAAATCTATGCTACTCTCCATCATCCATGACAATCATGCAAGCCATGGTGACAAACACTTCATCTGTGAAGGAGCAGTTGGCAAACTTGACGGAAGAAATCGTTGGCTTGACTAAATGCATGAAAAATCAAGAGGCTAGAATTGACAAGCTAACAGACAGGGTGGGAATCTTGATGGAAGAAGAAACCACTCATGCACCCGGAAAACTCCCAGAAGTTCAAGAGATTGATTCTGCCCGACGGCAAGTTGCATCCACTAAGGAAATTTCAGTCTCTTCGGAAGGGATGGTTCCAATCAATCATCTAAATGAGTTCATTGAAGGGACTATAAAAAACAAATATGAAGTCGCTTCCAAGTCCTCCTTTACCTATGCAAAGTTGTACACTTCAAGGATCGATATGTTGAAGATGCCTGCTGGCTATCAACCTCCAAAATTTCAACAGGTTGATGGCAACAACATGTGGCGCACTTCGTTGAGACATGCAACAATGCTGGGACTTATGGAGATTACCTCGTCAAGCAGTTTGTCCTCTCATTAAAAGGAAATGCTTTCGATTGGTACACGGACCTCGAGGCTGGATCTGTTGATACTTGGGACCAACTTGAGCAAGAATTCCTCAATCGCTTTTATAACACGAGACGTACTGTGAGTATGATAGAACTTACAAATACTCGTCAACGAAAGGGTGAATCAGTTATTGACTTTATCAATCGTTAGAGGAATGTAAGCCTCAACTGCAAAGATAGGCTTAGTGAATCTTCAGGCATAGAGATGTGCATCCAAGGCATGCATTGGGGGCTACGCTACATCTTGCAAGATATCAAGCCTGGCACATTTGAATAACTTGCGACTCGTGCCCATGACATGGAGTTGAGCATGGCCTCCACTGGAAATGAAAGGTTGCCTATCTATGAGTCTCGAAAAGGGAACGACAAGCAAGAAGTCAGGAAATGGAGCAAGTTTGTACCCAAATTTGAAAACAAAAAAGCTATGAATGTCAACACATCACCTGTGAAGTTCAAAATAAAGGTGAGCAAGAAGCAGAGTATGATATCCACTTCTTTTCGAAATAAGCCAAGTAGAAAGTTGATTCTAAAAGAAATGCAAGAGAAAGAGTACCCATTTCTGGATTCTGATGTGCCATCTATTTTTGAAGAACTCCTCGAGTTAAATCTCATTGAGCTTCCAGAGATGAAACGACCAAATAAATTTGGGAAAATAAATGACCCAAATTACTGCAAATACCATCGACTTGCGAGCCACCCTCTAGAGAAGTGCTTTGTCTTCAAGGACAAAGTTATGGACTTGTCTCGCGAAAAGAAGATCATGCTTGAAGATAAGAAAGCAAGCGCAAACCAAGTCTCTATCACCTTTGGCTCATTCAGTCCGGATGAATTATGTGGTTTTAAAGAAAGTAAAGATGAAGAATTACTAGAGAACGACAAAGCTGAAGTCAATCAACCTGATGATGATGAAGGTTGGACGTTGGTGACTCGTTGTAGGCACCACAAAAGGAGGCCACGAAAAGAATCAATAGAATAACCAACAAGGAAAATGATGGTGAAAAGACTAAGGAGATGGAATCCAGTTAAATATTTGAAGAAAGCAAAAGTGGAGGTGCACCATTCTCAAAAGCCACGAAATCCAGTGACCTTGGAGGAGTTTTACCAAGTTGGTTCAACACGAATATTTTCCATGAGGGTATCGATGCCTCTTGTTTCCATGCTGACAAAGGGGGAAAAAAGAGTGATGACCTACCGTTGGCACCATCTTCGGGAAAGTTCATCGAGTCCACTCCTCAAGAAGTTAATGTTTGTGAGGAAAAAGTCACTTTCAAAAATGACAATCTTCTTCTAGTTGACACTCTTCATAACCGCCCGTTGTACCTGATTGGCTATATGTGTGATGAAAGGGTTAATCGAATTTTGGTTGATGGAGGATCCTCGGTAAACATTTTGCCAATTCACACTATGAAAGAACATGGCATTCCCATGAACGAACTCTTAGAAATTCGTATGATGATCCAAGGATTCAACCAAGGGGGCAAAGAGCCATAGGCACGATCAGGCTGGAAATCACTATTGAAGATATGCAATCAAGTGCATGGCTACATGTGATCGATGCAAAGACTTCATACAACGTCTTGCTTGGAAGGCCTTGGATACATAAGAATACAGTAGTTCCATCTACCTACCATCAATGTCTAAAATACTACGAGGGTGAAGCCGAGAAGCAGATAGTTACTAATGATGAGCCATTCACCGAGGCTGAGTCACACTTCGCCGATGCAAAGTTCTACTTGAAGAATCGCATTGTGAAAGAGCTAAAAACTGATGATGGCATGAAAAGCAAGAATGACGAGCCCACAACTAAAAGAGCATAGGTGACTACTGGTGAAGCTAAAGCTGTTACTAAAGAGGTACAACCCAACACGAATAAATCTTATAGATGGAATGTTGCGTCTTATGGCAAGAAAGTAAGTCATGCGCTCCAATATGTCCCTAAAAGGAAGAAATATGAAGGTGAATCATCTCATCTCCAAACTAACATGCTAAAGAAGTTAACTCTTCCAATAAAAGGAATCGAGGCAGTAAAGTTGTCCTCAAAGCCACTTGCGGGGTTTGTAGCCCAAAATCATTTGCAGAATGTGGCACTCCTTACAAAGCGAACAGATGAAGGTTTTTATCATAACGCTTACAAGCTATTTGCAAAAGCTGGATACAATCCTAATGAGTCGTCAAAGTTAGGGAAGCTACCATCAAAAAATACAACGAGACAACCACATGAAGGTTTGGGATACAAGAAACCGTCACCCGTGCGCATCTCCATAAGAAGAGCGAGCAACAATTATATCACTGTAGAAGATGAATCGGCCGCTTCTAACAAGCCTTCTATCTTTGATCGACTTGGAAAAGCACCTATGAGGACCTCCGTGTTTGAGAGATAGGGTCCATTAAAGAAGGGGAACAAGTTCCAGATAAATTTTTAAAGCATAAGAACACCCACTTCGCCCAAAATCCAGAAAATCTCTAAGGATTTCCAAAGTTTGGTTCCTTTTGGAATGAGGCGACAAACAAAACTTGTGGTTTTATATAAAGAAGTACTGAAGGTAAAGCCATATACTGTGGTCTACATTAAGGAGCGTGACGAAGATAAAGAAAGTGTGGGTTTTTCATATCATGTTACTGTACAAGGCGAGAATGGTGTTACATCTTCAATGGATGATAATGTAGAATTGGAGGATGTTTCACCGTGTTATCACATATCCTTCAACGATAGGGACCCTCAAGAAGATGAAGATGTGAAAGATGTTCCACCTGAACTTGAAGAAGGAGTGAAGATGACAGTTGATGCCTTAAAAGAAGTTAACCTTGGCACTGATGAAGAACCAAGACCCACCTACCTAAGTGTTTTACTAGA